GCACTACTGGAGAGAGTCCAGTGGAGGGCTGCAAAGATGAGGAGGGGACTGGAGCATCTCTCCTCTGAAGAAAGGCTGCGAGAGCCAGGCCTGTTGAGCCTGGAGAAGAAGACTGAGAGGCGATCTCATCGATGTGTCCAAGTATCTGAAGGGAAGGTGTCGAGAGGATGTGGCCAGGCTCTTCTCCGTGGTGCCCAGCGACAGGACAAGAGGCAAGGGGCCTAAACTGAACCACAGGAAGTTCCGTCTGAAGCTGAGGAAAAACTTCTTGACTGTGAGGGTGACAGAGCCCTGACACAGGTTGCCCAGAGAGGCTGTGGAGCCTCCTTCCCTGGAGATATTCAGAACCTGCCTGGACGTGATCCTGGGAAACATGCTCTAGAGGACCCTGCTTGAGCAGGGGGTATTGGACTAGATGATCTCCAGAGGTCCCTTCCAACCTCAACCATTCTGTGATTCTGTGACTTGAATTCTATGGCTATTCAATTAATGCTGATAATCCATTATATCTTCACTACTAGTTTCTCAGTAGTGAGAAAATCTGTCCCTTGAGATGATAGGGTTGGTCTAGATTAGGGGTGCCTCTGGCATTATAAAAGAGCCAGGGGTGGGAGTAACCCAAGCTTCTGATCTAATCAGATAAACTTGATTTAGAAAAGCCTTTAAGTTGCTTTTGGTAGCTGGATAACTGAAAAACTACCCTGAGCAATGTTCAAATTCTAGTTGAGGCGATTTCATTGACTCTTAGTAATATTGTCAGTATTATTTGCAGTTTTCTTCTGCATCATGAAGTGTGCGTACACTTAACTTTAGAGTTTCTGTAAAGCAGAGCAAGGTTGTAGATATTGTGGGATGAGGTAATGTAAGTACGTTTATGATAATGTAAGTCTTTTATATAACTTTATCCATAAAATATACTTTTAATGGGTAGTTGCCTTGTATAAGTAAAGCTCAATAATTTTGTTTTGATCAAATGGATAGCACGTTCTTGTGTAATGAGGTTTTGTTGTGAAACTAATTCACTTTGGAGAATTCATTCATATGGTGGTGTGTTTTGATGTGACAGACGTGGTGCTCTTAAAACCCAAATCCCTAGTATCTGTAAAGAAATCAAAAAAAACCTCAAGCAAATGAGGCCCCTTATAAAAGGGAAGAGGTGTACAAGTAAGCTTTAGTTTTTTTGTGAGAGGGGAAGATATTGGCTCAATATAAGCTATGCGTTTTTCTGCTTCTGTTTATTTTGCTTGTTAGCATTATGTAGCACCTAGAAACAGATGGAATAAGCATGGATTAGTCAGGAAAAAGTAAGATTAAAAAGTGATGTTTGTACTAGGCCTGAGCATCTTAAGTAGTACCTGTTTAAGGTGCTTCACAGCTAATGTATAATTTCGGGAGTGTCATCAGTTGTCCCCAAGAATCCCAAAGCCTAATGGAGAGTGGCTGACATCAACCACCCTCCTCACTCCCCTTTTTTTTATCCTCTCTCTGAAAAGGACTTCTTGGTGCTGTCCAAGTAGGTTTGAACTAAGTCTTTGGAAAGAAATGACTATCTGTTTAAATGCAATAGGTTAGCTAAATGACAGCTATTCAGCCTTCTTTCCTGGGTATGAATATGATGCTACATGTGTCTTAATGTAGGAATAAATGTAAAAATTATTGGACAGAATACTAGTTACTTCCGTTATCCCTTTATGGAGATGAGTTACCTTCTTGCTTACGCTCCTTGCTGATATTGCTAATAAGACAATTTTATGCCTTTAGAAAACAAATAAAGTAGCCTCTAAAAAGATTTAGTTTAATCTCAGTTATTTTAAATGGAAAATAACAGGCAGTTAGCTCCATAGGGCATCAAGTTAATTTATTTTGAATTTGGTATGAGAAGTGACATGCTCTGAGAATTTGTGATAGGAGAAAACGTTAAAATGACTGATAAACACAACTTTGCAATGATTTGTATTGCATTGATTTCTTTGCAATGATTTTTATTTACCTTTTCTGCAATTTGCAAAAAATAATGGAAGAGACCTGGACGTGAAGTGTGTCGCATGTGTAAAAAGATCCAAGGGACACAGCATCTTTGACAAGTAGCTCATTGAGTATATCTGTAACTTACTTTCTGAATACCTTGAGTGAAAGATACTAGACAAATTGAGTTAAAAGTATTAATACCAAATTTCTGATCTTTTTTGATGTCTAAAAGGAGGCCTGGATGGGTGGTAGAATTAATTATAACTCTTAAGTAATCATTTTGGCTTTGCATTTTGCAATGCAGCTCTAAGAGGAATAAATTAAAGCCATAATTACCCTATATTTTTAAGTTGCCCTTCCTCTTGTTTGAGGCATGAAATTTATTTTTGTAATTTGCACAGGCACATTGATACACTGTGGAAACTAGTATGGTAATTCACTGAAGTATTTTGTGGATGTTTTTGAATGCTGTTTTTTGAAATATCTCATGTTCCTTGCTTGTAAGTGTCGTGAACGGAGAAAGTGTCTCTAAAAGGAATCCTATGGAAAAGTGCTGATTTTCTTTTGGTAATAGCATGTTCACTTTGGCATAATTTTTGAAGTATGTTTTGGTCTAGCACGTGAACTTCTGAAGCCGCAGCACATTTTGTCTTTGTTCTACTTAACACCATTACCAAGGTTTTATAAAACTGTTCCCTAAGTCCTGTTGTTATAGCTGCCTTGTCCTCTGTCATGTGCATACAAATCGATTGATTAGAAATGGTTAAAATGTTTTTCAGTGATGCATATATTTGTATTCCCTACTTGCACATCTTTTGTTTGGACTGCATCAGTGCTGTAGATCAAAAAGCTGGGCATACTAGGAGAGTGCTCGTGTCCCTGACGTTGGTAGGACTTCAAAGATGGGCTGAGCTGTTCTGCTGTATGATGCAACTTCAGGTAGTCATTGCTCAGGCTGGAATGGGATATTTCAAATAACAAACTGCCACGGTGGCTGAGGTAAACTAGGCAACAGAATCAATGTAGTATCCAGGAAACTGCTGCTTTTGAAACAACATGCCAGTATTTGAAGGTCTGCTAAAGCAGTAATAGAGTATATTCGATGTCTGAAATTTAAAACGGAAGGCTGATAGGAAAATTCCTGTTCTAATTTCCTTTGTAACATGCTCAAACAGAAAACTCTTCTTCTGTTTGTCCTGGAATTGGGTCTTAGATTTTGCATAAAGTTAAGCGTTAAAGGTTACTTTTTATGTAACTACAGAGAAATAAGTCAAATTCCTTTCTTTGCTCCGCTTCTCCTATATAAATGGAACAGTCAGTTCTTGCCATGTATTTGTTTCACAGGAAGAATCCCGTTCACTTTCAGCAGTTCAGTCACCCTATTGACGATGATTATCATGAGACGGACGTCGTAACGCAACCCGACAGCGATGACCGGCCTGAATGTCCTTATGGAACTACTTGCTATAGGTAAAAAACCCTGTACTTAAGAACCCCTGTTCTTATTTATGTGCTAAGACTGTTTTCCCATGGAGTTATGAAGTGAGAATGGAGTAATGGGTAATTCTTGATGTTAAATCTTTAGTATAGCATATCATTATGGCCCTTTTTTATGTCTCATTGCCTTCTAAAATTTACTGTGGATGGACTGCTGCCTTTAAAGTACCAGTCTTGCAAAGTGTTTGTGAGTAATTTCAGCTAACATGTGAAAGCTTGACTTCTGGAACCTGTTTAGAGACTCTGAGATCAACCCTTTTTCACCTGACAAAATGCTATTCTCTTTATATAAAACTGTAAATAGTTGTATACTTTTTAAAGTAAAGCTGATATAAACTTTACAAAAAGTATATGAACTTTACTTTGAAATTTGCATGAAGTTACTTTTATATAAATTATAAATAGTTATTGTTATATGTTCTTGATATATTGTGCTTATTTTCAAGTTTTATTAAATATTTGATGAGATTTTATACAAAAAGGCTATATTTTAATCAGTGTTTAGATTAGAATAACATACCAAATTCAAATAACACTTTAAAAATTGATTAGCAATCAAATCTAATTTATGATTGACAGCGGTGCAGTTTCTTTTATCAAGTTTCCAGCACTATCAGTTTTCTGAAGAAGGTTGTCTTATTCCGTTTTGTTGCTCAGTGTCTAGATGTTTAGACTTTTATTTAGCAGAGCTTAATGGCTGATGTGTAGCTGATACAATGGACAAAAGCATATATTTTGAGGAAGCAGCATTTCTGTGTGAGCATATTAATACTAACAGCTGCTGTTAATACAGCTTGCCTCTAAGCAGAAACAGTTTCTCCTATCTCTCCCAGAGGTGGGTAACTCTAAACAGCATATTCTCAAATGAAAGGTGACAGAATGAGGAGAGCATTTTTTTTGTTGTTTTTAAATTCACATATATTTAGTTAATGCAAAAAATGTTTTCTCTCTTGCAAAATAACTATAAACATCTTTAGGATGAGAAATCTGTGCTTATGCCAGTAATGAAATTCCCAACATACTTTTAAGGAGTAGAGTGGATAATTAATCCAAAACCAAAACTGTCCGTCCTTCCAGGAGACAATCTCCACGCAGTATAACTTGATCATTTTTTAATTTTTTGGGGGTAGGGGAAAGGAGGCAGCCATGAAGCAATGATAGTTCTTTAAACTAAGTCTCTAAGTAATATACAATTTGAAGAGTCTTCATAGCCTCTTTGCTGCCTTTATCTATTGGCTGATATTTGAAGTAAACGTAACTGAGAGAATAAACGATTCAAACACTAAGCCTTGAGTTAGGATCAAGTGGTATGATGTTGATGGTAGTAGTAAAGCACTGAAACAGGAAATTCCTTTTGTTGCTGTTCAGTGCCTGTTCTCCTTGTGGGGTGAAAAGCAGGGACTGCTCAGAATACTCATCTTTCAGGTCTAACCTGAAAGGGACAGGTACAACTAGCATGTGAATTGGACTAAAGATCAGATCCATTAAAAGGCTTGGGTAATACAACCCCTAAATTTGTGTGGATTCAGAGTGATATTTTGCGAAGCGCCCTATGTAGTGTGTGGAAAGACTTAGAACAGTTTTTGCAATGGTATGCTGAGCTTCTGTTTATAACTGCAGCTACATGCTTTTTGTCAAGTAGTAGCTGATAAGTATAGTAATAGCTATATAGTACTTCAGTCCAGTTTGCATGTTTTCCTATTGCGATTCAGCTACGTGAAATACTAACTAAATTTTTCATCCAAGTCATTAACAAAGCTGCTGTTAAGATACGAACTGTGTTATACCGAAGTGACTCAGTTTACAAACACCAGTGTTTATGTCCCTGGTGTATAATAAGTAGAAAGCACTTCTCAAATTCTTCTACACAGAGATTTGAAAAAATGATTTGTATGCTTCTGTGTAAGGTTTTGTGCAAACTGGTTTCACACTGGGGTATATGAATTGACATAAACCAAGAACTCATTTATAACTTGTCTTCTATCTAGAGTGCAGTCTTTTAAGCTCATGCTCGATTGCCGTGAATTTAATACTTAGTTGCAGGTGACATCTTCATTATCTGTGGTGGGCATAGGATTCTGGAAACAAATTTTCCTCTTGTTACCTACATGGCTTTTCCTTCATAAAAATGGTATGAGATCTGATTCTTTACTCTGCTGCTTTTCTGCAGTCCAAGTTTGTTCTACAGTTCCTAAGTCTCAGTCAAATGTCGTATTTGAAAGCTGCTGAAATTTGCTGCACCACAGAATGTAACATTGGAATTATCTGAGTAATAAGTAGTAATGTTGCAAACCCAAGATGAGTTTTGTTCATCGATTTTTCTGTTTGCTACATCCAGAATAACTATGCCTTCTGAGCAATAGTTATGTCTTTTCTTACTTGTAAGATGTTGTTCTCAATCTTAGTCATGAAAAGTGAAAATGTTGCTGTGAAGTGTCTGCTTAACTTAAAGTTTTAATGCCTCTATACTCTTTGTTATTGGAAACGCCAAATCACATGTTGTTCTCTGCTCAGCCTTGTGTGGGCACTTTTCCTATCTTATTTATTTTGGTATTAAAATCAGTTTATTTTAGAGTGTTGTGCAATTTTTAGGTTTGTGAACATGTTGTGGGATTTTGAGGATAAAGAATGCACTGCACATCAAAGTGTAGGGAGGGAAATCTAACGCTTCCCTGCCTGTTGTTTTTGATGTCCAGACTAGCACAGAAGTCTTTCTTTGTATGAATCTGGGAAAGAATTGAAGAATCTAGGTTTGTGGAACATATTTAGGTTTTTTCTTTTTTTTTCCTTTTTCTTTGTTTTCTTTAAATGGCAGGATTAGACATGAACTGGGAGGCAGGTAACTGATTACTGTCTACAGCGACAGAGAACTCACACATCAGTCTGTCATCCTAAAGTGGCAAGTTGTAAATATGTAACAAAGTGACATTTTGAAGTATTTTATAGATAACTAATGACTTGATATGAGTCCAATACATATACTTACTTGATTGCACCATTCACCTAATCTGAAAGTAGGATTGACCTCCATCTGTTTCCATTGTTAATGTTATTTCCCCTATTTCATCTGAACCTGAGGAAAAACTTCTTGAGTGTGAGGGTGACTGAGCGGTTGTGGAGCTTCCTTCCCTGGAGATACTCAAAACGTATCTGGATGCGATCCTGGGAAACATGCTCTAGAGGACCCTGCTTGAGCAGGGAGGTTGGACTAGATGATCTCCAGAGGTCCCTTCCAACCTCAACCAGTCTGTGATTAAAAAGCCTCGTACCCAAGAAGGAGTATATAGCTGACTCGGCTATCCTGAAAACGCTTCTTAGACAGGAATGCATTTCTTGCTTGGTTGATAGCTTCCAGTATCAATTATGGAGTCACTTTGAAAGGTCCATAAGTAGCAGATGCTTCTGTTTTATCACCACATTTATTTGCAATTCCTGTTTAAATAAGACTTTTCTTTAAGCAAATATACTAATTTGGGATATTTACTTTTCAACAACTTTGACAAAGCTAAACGCTAAATCAGCCAGTTAAAATAGGTGTTGAGAAAGTTAAAATAATACGGTGACTATTTCTGTAAAATAACAAGGAGGTCTGGGCTCATTTAGCTTGGAACACAGCAGCCAGTGATACGTTTATTGCTTTCTCCATTGTAGGAAGAATCCCCAACACAAGCTAGAATACAAGCACAGCGCACTTCCAGGTAAGCTAAGGTGTTCAGTATACTTCAGAGCAGGGCAGGGGGAAACCAAACCCCACAAATGCATACAAAAAATTTGGAATAAAATACTTTCAGCTATTGTAAGTGAAAATTGCTGTATTTGCAGCATAACACAGAGTAAGCTACATTCTTGCTCCTTCCTTTGCTTGAAGTTTTGCCCTTGTCTGTGCTAAGGAAGATTACTTGGCCACTTCAAGCTTGCACTTGCTTTTTCAGATGCTTTTCAGCTGAAGTGAGATAAGCTGGCTCAGAGGATATTGACATAGTTTATATGCTTATATCTCCTATTTTATGGACAAAAATATCAGATGGCAAGTGGATATTTGCATAAGCTTAGTCATTTTTATTGAAAATAAAACTGACATACTGTGATATTGCCTAACTTGTATTGCCCTCTCCCCATTTGGAGCTGTAGTGATAAAATGAAAACAGGGAATGTATTTTGGTATTAAAGGTACTGAAGTATATTTTAATGTTTAGAATGGGCATTGTGGTAAATTATTTCTACAGTATTCCTCACCTCTACATAGCGTAACATTGAGCGTTGTGTGTACAGCAATATTTTATATTTTAACTCCAAAGATTCATATCTTAAGACTTCATGTGCTCTTTTTATTTATTTATATATATTTTTTGTTAGGAAATCCTGAGGTAAACATTTAAGTCTTGTAATGCTCTAAAGCAAAAATTGCAAGAATCTCTGGATTTTTTTCTGAATCGGTGATTCTATTCCTAAGCCACATCGTTTTTTGCGTGTGTGTTCTCTTGAGGTTTGGGGGGAATATAATCAAAACTGAATCTAAGTTTTTATTTTAAAATTTTTCTAGTGTTTCGTATTCCAGTAATTGGATTTGCTGGAAAAAAACAAGGGAATATGCTGTTTGCAATTTGTCTATTCTTTAAGAATTCAAAGAGGCACTTTGATATATTTTTAGTACTTTTTCTTGATTATTGCTTTTGGGGTTGTTTTTTTCCTGCTTAAAAGTCCAATGCAATAAACAAGACTTCAGAGCAGAACAGTTATGGAAGCATAATGACATTGTACTTGAAACAATCTGGATTATGAAGTTGTTAAGGAAAAATTACACTTATTGAAGCAACAGTGTAAAACATTTAAATGTTTTGCAGTACTTTAAAATGAAAATATCAGTCTTAATGACATTACAGCTAGGGGTGGCATTGTTTATAATTATATGAAAAGTTTACTTGGGGAATCTCTCAGGGATCACTCAGTATGGAACAACATTTTTGAGGTTTTTGTGCTTGTAAATATGGCACAGTCATTGCAGCATTTGCTTTAAAATATCAGTCTTTTATTTTAGCAACCTCAATGAATAATACTACTGCTAGCTTGTACTCTATGCTGACTAATAATGTTCTTTTCTTTAGTAACTGAAAGAAGAACCCGACAGAGAACTTCAAAGAATGGTTAGTGTGTTCTGAATTTCTGAATAGGCACATCCGCATGGGACATAAGTGATTTGCTTTGTTTTTCAGGCACTTGACAGTGCTGGAGGTACTTGATGATACTTACTTGAAGAGAATGTCATTATTTTATTTGAGTAGGATCCTGCTTACTTTTGTAAGTCGTGGTGCTGACATTGAACTTTTACCGGGCTTCCTTGATGAGCATACCTGCAGTTCTCTGGACAGAGGCCAAGAAAAAAAAGAAGAGAGTACCCTTTCAGTTGGAAAGACATATGTGGCTGTATCAACTAGCACTTTGTTGCATAGGGATCATAGCAGGACTAAAGGACTCAACGTTTCATCCACAGCAACTTAAGGTTGCTCCCTAAGGATTGATTGCTCCTGAAGCATTGAATATTCCTTTTGCATTGTGTTGATCTCTAAAGGACTTTCATGTAACATTTGTGCATGTGCTGATGAGCTTTTCTTACACTAACTATGGGGTATCAGTGTTTCAGATAAGATATTGATATTGACTGTATATGAATATCTCTTCTATTTGTTGGCAGTGTACCTAGCTTGTTTTGCTGCTGCCAGCGATGTTAATTCATGTGTTGCATATGCATAGCCACCTGCTTAAAATCCTGCAGGTCTGTTTCCAGACTTTTTGTGTCAGCTTCTGTGTGTGTGAAGCTTCCTATTCTTTCTAAAACAATTTAAAAACGAGCTTTTTACCAGCATCACAGCTGTGCTTGCTGTGAAGCACTTAAATTAGAACTGGCAGTGGCATCACAGAATTGATATAATGGATGCTTATCTCTAGCTTACGGAATATATAATGGTGGACAGGTTTTTTTTCTGTTCTCAATTTTTGTGAGAACTTCATTAGAAAATTGCTATTTGTTATATTACCCATTATCTAAAATCTATCCCTTATTCTTGTAAAGATATTTAACTGTTACGTATAAGAACTGTTCTGAACTTTGACAGCCTTTTGGTCTATCTAGTAAGTATTTTTAATTCCTTAAAATAAGTTAGCCAGATTTAAGGCTATTAAATACCATGTAGAATCGTATAGTGTATTACTCAGCTGTCCCTCTCTGTCCAGTCAATATTACTATTTTTTTCTGTTCCCCGTTTACAAATGTTTAGCTTGATTTGATTATGCAAATGATGGTTGTGGAGTCTCTGTCCCTGGAGATATTCAAAAGTCTTCTGGATGCAATCCTGGGCAACGTGCTCTAAGTGACCCTGCTTGAGCGGGGCGATTGGACTAGATGATCTCCAGAGGTCCCTTCCAACCTCAACGATTCTGTGATTTAAAAGCTATTTTTATTTGAGAATCAGTAAAGACTTTTTCACTGGAAGTACCAGACCTCCATGGAAGGCCCCGGAGAGCATTATCATGCTTAGTAACGTGTATATTTGGGGGTTATTTTTTTCCTTAGCTTTTGCGGACAGCCAGAAGTAATCTGTGGATTCCACATTGCATGCCACTTCCTGATGAAAAGGAAGCAGATGTGATTACTTTTAATTGTCCTTGCAGTTTTGACTCTCTGCAACCAAATTCATTAGAGATTTAAGAACACAGTATCTCTGAGGCCTCAAAGTTTCATGAAAAGTGGTGGTTTATAAAATAAGGAGACTCTGTCAGCATGTTCAGTGAGGAGAGCAGTTGGAGTGGCTCAATTCTGTCTGACCTGTTGATCCACCAAGAGGTGGATTGTCAGCAATCAGCATGCATGCAACTCGGGATTGTTTGTCACGTGTGCTGTCTCTTCTAGCTCTCGGAAGACAAAATTAGAGGATATGGTGGGGACTGTCAGGTCCTGTGGAGAGAAGGCAGAGGAGATACGGGAGGGAGCTGGTGATAGTGGTGTAGAGGATATTTGAAGGAGCTTGGGGTAAGGAAGAGGAGAATTTGGAGGAAACTGGATAGATGGAGGAAAACAGGCAAATGTGGAGGAGGGAAAGAATGAGTGTTTAGCAGATGTAAACTGACTTCCCACAGGTTTGTTGTTTACGCTCTTGACTCTCCAGGCTTTAAAGAAAAATGTGCATGGGGAAAGCAACTGTATCTAATGTCTAGGACTAGATTATCATAGTTGCACAGAATCTGTATTTGGGGCATGAATTTAAAAAGAGATCACTTCCTAGGACTAATGAGAAATTTAAAAAGAAATCACTTTCTAGGAGTAATGAGCAGTCTGAAAGTCAGGTGGTATGGAGACTTCACTTCCATTGGCCTCAACAAGGCATGTCCCATGTGCTCATGACAAAAGGGGACAGGCTTGTCTTCCTCTAGATCTCCAAGATGTGGCCAGACACGTCCTAAATAAATCCTCAAAATATAGAGAGTTCTGTCTGCTTAAGAGGATAAGTATAAATAGCTGTAGTTAGTTTTATAGAAAAACTGTTTTGAGCTGCAGGTCTGGTGTGGGTAGACTTAAAAGGTTGCTCATATACTTTCCACTGAGAAATTTCATTCCACCAATTTCCCCGCTATGTAGCGTGCACTTTTTGCTATCATTAAGTGCTTAATGTGTTTGTATCTTTCTGCTTGCCTGTTTTGAGGCATAGTTGCTATCTGTATGTTTTTCCACATCTTACGATGCATACCAGTCCATCTCAGTCGTTGTTCCCTCTTGGAAGGTGTGTTATAACATGGTGAGAATTGTAATAGCATTGTAAGGACAATGAGTGATTAAGATATTATGACGAAACAAACTGGACTGTTTTTATATCTAAAAGTCTTCCTTACTCTAAAGACAAATCTTGAAGTTTTTTAAATTGTAGGTGTGCATTTCGTAAAAGCACCTTACTTACCTGAATGGTAGATACTGAGTATCCACCAACTGTTGACAGCAGAGAATAACTATGTATGGAAAAGTGCTTATGTTGTAAACTCTTAAAACTTTAACATGGAAGTCAAATTCAGTGTGTTAAATTCAACTCCTTTCAGTAAGAACCAGTGAAAAATGGATGTCTTGTAATATGAGGGAAAAAAGGGAGTTCATTAGTGGAAATACTGCTAATTTGCTGATTCTTTTTACAGATCTTGTTGAGTGGCTGGCTTAGTTCTCTTAAGGAGAAAGCTCGTAAAAGGTTAGGCTCAGCACATTCATGTTTGAGGCTGTCCTACTGAGCTACACAAGGTCTTACAGACAGTCAGGGCTTCATTAACCTTTATTACGTGCTGTTTGGCACAGCTTTGCTTACTGTTAAGCGCAGCAGAGTTGATAGTTCCTTATAAATGTATTTAAACTCCACTAACCAAAAAAAGAAGGCTGTTGACTGCATGACACATGACTTGTTTAGTTCTTAGCATTATTAGTCTGATTGCTACCAGAGGGTTTGCAAGTAGCCTGTAAAGAATGAAGCATATGCTCTGAAACAATCTAAGGCTAGTTCACTGGGAACGGGCTGTAGAGGAAGAAACAAAAAGAGTCAAAGTTGATGTTGCTAAATCATCACTTCTAAATTGTCGCTAAATTGTCACACTGGATTGTCACTGCCTAGATGAATGATCTGCTGTGGCTATGGACTTTACAGAATTTTCTTAACTTTTTTTGTAGTTTTTCTAGCAAGCTAATCATGTAACTTTCAAATATAATTATTTGAAAAGAGATAGTCAGAATCCTTTTTTCCCCTGTGTGGAGCAGGCACTTTCATAGAAATGTCAAGGTCATCTTGATCAATGTGATACCAGAGAAAAAGCAGAATTGTGCTTAATGAGCTGCTTTGGGAGCTGTGGAACTGAATAAATTTTAGCAGGAAGAGGTGGAGTGGGAGTACGTGAAAGGAAATATATCATTTACTGCTGAAATCCAAAAGCGTTGAAGTATGGGGAGGAAAAACATCATGGTATGCTCAAACATTTGTAGTAGAACAGCAAAATATAAATAGTTTGATGGAAGTAGTCAGCATTTTGCCAGAGTTACTAGTTCTACAGTAAGACTTGTCCACTAGGATTCCCAGGTCCAGCTCTGTAGAAAAGGACCTGGGAGTCGTGGTGGACAAGTTAACCATGAGCCAGCAATGTGGCCTTGTGGCCAAGAAGGCCAATGGGATCCTGGGGTGCATTAGGAAGAGTGTTGCCAGCAGGTCGAGGGAAGTGATCCTCCTCCTCTACTCAGCCCTGGTGAGGCCACACCTGGAGAACTGTGTGCAATTCTGGGCTCCCCAGTACAAGAGAGACATGGCACTGCTGGAGAGAGTCCAACTAAGATGATGAAGGGACTGGAACATCTCTCCTCTGAAGAAAGGCTAGGAGAATTGGGCCCGTTGAGCCTGGAGAAGGGACAACTGAGGAGGGATCTAATCAATACATATAAGTATCTGAAGGGAGGGTGTCGAGAGGATGTGGCCAGGCTCTTCTCCGTGGTGCCCAGCGACAGGACAAGAGGCAAGGGGCCTAAACTGAACCACAGGAAGTTCCGTCTGAAGCTGAGGAAAAACTTCTTGACTGTGAGGGTGACAGAGCCCTGGCACAGGTTGCCCAGAGAGGCTGTGGAGCCTCCTTCCCTGGAGATATTCAGAACCCGCCTGGACGTGATCCTGTGCAAGGACCCTACTTGAGCAGGGAGGTTGGACCAGATGACCTCCAGAGGTCCCTTCCAACCTCAACCTTTCTGTGATCTATTATAGTCCCATGACCTATTTCTGCAGAACCACAGATAACTTAGTGTGCTTTTAACTGTTTTACAAGAACAGCAGTTATGAAAGCAATCATATTGTATTTTATTTACAGAGGGGTTGTATGTTTACCATGTAGTATCTTTGTCTGCCCAGAACGGGTAGTGCCTTACCTGGAGTTCTGTACGGGCAATGACATGGACAAAAAGGCTTGGGTTCCAGAAAAGAGTGTCAAAGATCAGATGTGCAGAAAGCATGACACCTGAGGGGTAAATTAAAGGTAGTGTAGTCTAGAGAAGAGAGGATTTGGGAGAAATATTAAATAAATAAAAGATACTGCAAAGAGAAAAGGAAGAAAATTCTGGCTTCACTGTAAAAAGCGACATGTATTAAAGTCATTTAGGAAAACTTTCTAAGTGATAGACAGGTAAGTACTGCAGTAGATGTTTGAGAGAGGTGGTACAACTTTTCGTGGGATTCTTAAATTCCAAAATTGTCAAAACTGGTTGTGGTGCTTTAGTTGATCTTTCCTCTTCTTGAGAAAGATCAACTAGATGGTCTCTTCAAGGTCTTTCTGTTTTTTTTTTTAGTGATGATTCATGAATATATTACTTTTTTTTTTTCCTACAGGAAAAAGGGTTTTGGAGGAAGACAGTAACAATGATGGTTTACCAAATGAATATGATCTTAATGACAGCTTTATAGATGATGATGAAGAGGAGTGCGAACCTACTGACGATGATTCTGACTGGGAACCAAATTCAGAAGAAAATAATGAAGATGTTGAAACACTTTTGAAAGAAGCATGCAGATTTGTTAATACCAAAAAGTAGCTGCACTTAATAACATCAAAAACTTCCTCTCCAGCTGAGTTAAAACATGAATGTGGGAGAAGGGGAATTGTTCTGAAAACTATTTTTTCTTCAGTGATGTAGGTACTACGGGAAGATTTTAGCAGGCGTAAGGGGACTGAGCAATACCTTTCTTTTCATATATATAATTTTGATGTTTGTTTTCTTAAGTGGTGGCATCCAGTGATTGAGCTCTGGGATTATATTTTGTGGCAACTGAAGTAGAAAGTTTTTTTAATGGAAATTTCTCATCTCTTTCTTTTCCAGCACTGTTAGTGTCTCATAGTTTGAAATACAATTTTAAAGGTTGTTATGCTTCATCATTCTGTGCTTGAAATAAATAGTGGCATTAGGAAAGCCTTTAGTTTTGTAAAGCATATTATGTACTGTGCTGAATGAAGAGGAGTTGCACTTCATGCCTGCAGAAGCACAAACTAATTCTTGACAGTGGGGAATCTGTCTGAATCATTTTGTAATGTTCTTTGGAGGTAGTGTAATCTTAAATTTCAGCAGTCTGCTAATAGCTTTCCTTTGGGTGTTATTTCTTTGATGCTCTTGATGTACAGTAGCTAAATACAGGCTGTCTAAATAACTTGGGAACAATATCTAAGTGTACTGAACCTCTGGTTATGTCCCAACACCAATCATGGAGCATTTGCTCTAATTACAGTATCTCTTTCAGTACATAGGCACCACTGGAATTGTGTTCAGTTTTACAGCAATGATGAAATTTTAATGACTGTTCTTTTACACAAAATTATAATTGGTATACTGTAGGAAAAATTTGTAACTGTGTCTTTGCATGTGATCTCTAAAGAATATGCTGTAGAAACTTACCTTCAATGTGTTCACAACTTTTCTGAACTTTCTAAAAAGAAATTTGGTCTGTCCTGAGTTAAAAATTTTTGGTATGTTTCAAGGCAGATGACTTAAGTCATTTCTAAGAGCACAATTAATAGAAAGTAACATTTTGCTATGCTGGTCTTGCACTTTGTTTTGATAGATAATACTGAAATTTTGCAGGGGAATCACTGCTGTATGCCTCTTGATACCCTGTGAAAATCTGCCCAATTGTGGTGGAATAACAGGAATGCAAATACACTCAAGCCTTTTAGGTTGGTGGCAAAATGCTCTCTGCAGGTACATTTCAGGGAATACCTGTTCCAGTCCACCCTGGCCGTGTGGGTGAGGATGCCATGTTCCTGGGCTTTGGGAGAGGCCCAGCTTGGTAGTTGCCCTTTCTGTGTGCTGGGGCTGCTGTACAGGGTTTCAGAGAAGAAGGATTTATTTTTTTTCAGTGCTGTCAAAACTGTCCCAGCCCACTCCTTACTTGCATTGATTATGAAGCTGGTGAGGGAGGGAAAAAAAGGAAGTGAACTAGCTGAAATACAGGAGGCTAAAGATCAGAGGAAAGGCAGAAGGGAAACTGGAGAAGTGATGTGGAGGTCAACTAACACAAGATTTGTGTTCCGTTTTGTATTTGAATTGGCAGTGAGACTGAAACTAGAGCATTGAAGATCTCATAGTGCATATGTGTTGTCCTTAAAGACTGCATATGTTAATTCTCTACCTCTTTAATAAGGTTTTGCAGTCTTACATTTTTTTAACCTTTTCTTTTTATGTAGTGGTAGTTCCATGCTCGTAGAGGTTGAGTGTCAGAGGAAGCAAGCTCTGCTATTTAGATTTGTACTCTGACAACGTATCTTTTTTGCAAGGTCTTCAGAAAATTGCTTTAAATAAACTAGTTATTTCCCCAGCCTGTTTTTGGGTGCAGGGTAATGTTTTGGCAAATTGTGTATTAGAATTTTCTCTAAAAAAATGTAGATACTGAAAATACAAACATTCGTGATTGGTGACCATTTTGAGAACGTGAGAGTAATTTACTTGCTATTTATTAGAGCCATTTCATATAAAAATAATCTAATTGGTGGGTTTTTACAGTGTCTGATGATTTCTGCAACCTTAACCTTCATCAAGCAGAAACATTCTCTATTGTACTATTACACTGTGAATAACTCTAAGAAGTTAAATTAGAGTTTACTTTGCAAGTAGAAATAGCTTTTCAACACTGGAGGCTTCCAGATATGTAATCACAGAAACAAATCTAGAAATCGTTCCTAGTTTTGCATGATAGGTGGAGTTTTATTACTGATACCTCAGGATCGAAAAAATTATGACCAAAGTAGTATGTTGGAGAAATGTCACAGCTGTAAACAAGCTGACTACAAGATGGTAATCTGAAGTTATGTCTATTTAAGAATATTTTTCTGTTCTTGTATTCTTTCCTTAACAGCAAAATGTATTTTTATGCTTCTGGATGGACGAACTTGTAACTCTAAAAGTTATCTGAATATCAGTCAGAACTACCCAGTTCAAGGTACAGATGAGATTACCCAGAACACTTTTGCTTCTTTCTTTTCCCCGTTGCTTCTTTCTTTTCCCCGTTGCTTATGTTGAGTTGCCCAATGTTTTTTCAGCGAGTCCGGTATGCATTATAATCTAGTGGGCTGAGTCTGGATCAAAATATGTATGAACTTAAATACATATATGGGTTGAGTGAAAGTACTTTGACAGTGCTGTACTGTACAGCAGTTGCTACACCAACTCCGGAGGTTTATATTTATGTTATTTTTAATTAATGTTTCTAATAGGCTGAGCCTCGACTGTATATACCTGTATGTTAATGAAATTAGGAACAATTTGGTTGCCAAGGTCAATTTAGAAATGATCTGGGAATACAGAGCAAGTACTACCAGAAGCTCATCAGCCATAATATGCTAGCTATTGGAGTTTAGTAGAAGGCATGTTTAAGAGACCGCTGCTCCTGTGTTCCTGTGATAAGGCATAACTGAGGATCAGTGAACGGAGGCAGGTACTTCAGTATTATGTGACAGAGCTTTTGCAGCCTATGCATCGAGATAAAAATGGAGCCAGAACTGCTTAGTCCTTTCCTTATCTGCAGTGATTAAGTGGCTAAAGCAGACTGCCATAAAATTGGACAAAGGTGTTAACTTTCATCTCACATCAGTTTTTTTGTATGCAATTGAAACCTAATAGGCTAGGCAGATGACTAATGGGGTCATGCTAAGCAATGTAGTTCATGTATCACTTAGGTCTGGGTTGGAGTAAGACTCTAGTACTGCTAGGGCATGTGTCTCCTCTCTCTGTCTGAGACTGTGGTGCCTTACCATAAAATTATGGGAGCATCCATGTTTTTAAGGGATCGCCTACCAATCTCGGATATCTAACATATCAAGGATGATCTTGTGCTAGTACTCATGTGCTAGTTCACATCTGAATTGACCCTCACAATTAAACTCTTCCTAACTTTATTACTGTGCATACATTCCCTTTGCTACGTCCCATCCTTTTCCTGCTGTTTCCCAGATGCCCAGCTTTTAAGCTGCTTTCAGAAAGTCCTGACAGAAGCACAACTACTTAAAACCCAAAGTTGGCTAATTCTCTGGTTATTATCTTTAATCGCTCTTTTTTTTGAAATGGCCTGTCATGCCAGCTGGGACTGGTAATTTGATAGAAACCTTTCCAATACATAAGGATCTGTGTGTCTGATGCTGCCAGCTCTATGGCAGGCTGTGCTGCTGGAGCTGATCTGCTGTTAAAAACACAGTTAGTGTTTGTATAAACCTTATCCTTTTACTGATGTTATTTTTTTCCAAATAAAGTAATGGTCAAGTGCTGAGTACATGCTATGCCTTTCTGTTGATCACACTGGGCGATGCAAAAATGCTAAGCTTTTGTATGCTTTCTTAAATTTTATGATGCTTGGCCTGAAAATATTGATGATTAATGAGGGCTGAAATCTTAGAGCCCCATGATTTACTTCAGAAAAAAGTAGGATTTTAAGGTGGGTGGGTTTTGTTACCAACAAGAAGTTGTAAATGCAAGGTGCCAGATCTTGCAAACTTTGAGTTTGGAGCACCTTCAGGACTGCCCCCTTCAAGCACAGCACAGATAGATGAATACACTGTGACTTATTTTCCTTGTTAAAGTCTCAAAGAATCTCAATCTGAATTTAAAAACCAAATTGAAACCAAGATAGGGCATCCAATGTTTTAGCCTTAGATTGTTAATTTAAAATGTGACAAATGAAGTTTAAAACTGTAGGTTAACACCTACAGTTGCACTGAAATCTGACAAATCATCTGAGCCTTTGCTTGTCAATCTGAGTTGTAAGACAGTAACTCATAAGAATTGAAACAGAAGCCTACATTGATTTGATGCAATAGTTCATGTTTCTGAAAGAATATTTGGAGTAGAGTAATAACATAAAACATACTTTGTGCATTGTCTAAATCTTCTCTAGTGACAGTATTGTTACTTCTTGGCGTGCGGGTGCCACGGTGG